ACGCCCCGGCTCGAACGGCTGAATAAAAACATTTTTTCGCGGACGCTTGGTCCCCCCGGATCTCCATGATACCTTCTGGCGTGGCGAATTTTAATTTCTGGTGGAAAGTGGAGTGCACCGCTCCCAACGCATGCAGCCATGTTCGCCCCATAATCACGTTGTAGGGAGAGTCCGTATCGATCACGACAAACTCGGTGTCGATGACAAAGGGACCTGTGACAACTGGCAATGTGATTTTCCCCACGGGCAGGGCGAACGAGCCGTTGAATCCGATGAGGGGTGTCCTGACTTTGGTGAGGTCTTTGGGGCCAAGACCCATCCGTTTTAAAGTTTCGGAGTACATCACCTCCGAGGAACTTCCAGAGTCTATCAAAATCCTTTTGACATCGAATTTTCCTATCCTCAGGGTCAAGACAAGGGCGTCGTTATGAGGAGTCACTACGCCTGTCAAATCCGCGTCGGAGAATGTAATGCCAAGCTCACCCGTCCTGGCCCTTTTACTTGGTGGCCCTACATCAACCTCGGCTACCTTCCTCGTAAAAGCTACCCTTTGAGGTCGGACTCGAGTTCCTTGGACGTGGGGCGATCCAGGGGACATATATGGATGACATCTATGATGTTGTCCGGCTCCTCGGTCGGGGCAAGGGCTTGTCTCTCTTCTGGCCTGGGCTCTATGTACTCTTTCAAATATCCGTCTCGGACCAATCTTTCCAAGAACGATTTGAACACCCTGCAGCTTTCGGTGCGATGCCCGAAATCCCGGTGATAGGAACACCTAACCTTTTGATCACGGGTGGAGGGGTCGCTCTGCATCCTGGGCGGCCATTTGAAGAACGGCTCGTGCTTGATTTTATGGAGCAGCTTGAAGATGGGTTCCTTGAACACAGTGTGAATTCCTTTGGACGGACCCCCTGGAGGGGGTAGCAATCCCTTTCGGGGAATATCTTCCCGCTCCTTCTCTTTTCTCTTAGATTGGAGGGCTCGGCCTTTGCTGCTTCCCATCTCGTCCTCAACCCTCGAGTATTTGTTTATCCGGGCCATTAGTTCCCCCATATCCGAGGGAGTCTTCTTGGTCAGGGATCGGTACAGGTCCGTGTCCCTTGCCAAGCCGAGCCGGAAAGATGCTGCTGCCATGACCTCCGAGCAGCCTTCTACCTCATTAACCTCTTCCCAGTATCGGATGGCGTACTGGCGAAGAGTCTCGGATTCCCTCCGTCTGAGGGTCAGCAATGATCCAATGTCTTTGGGGCGCTTACTCCCCGTAATGAATCGAGCCAGGAACTGCTTAGTCAATTCCTTCCAGGACCCAATACTGTTGGGGGGAAGCGCCTCGAACCACTTCATCGCAGAGTCCCCCAAGCTCATAGGAAACACTCGGCAGAGAAACCGTTGGTCCGAATGATAGAGGGACATCATCTGCTTGTATTGCCTGACATGGGCTTCGGGATCGGACCGCCCGTCATAAGTTTTGAACCGCGGCACGACAAACTTTCTTGAAACCTCCATCTCACCGATCTCCCTCGTAAAGGGTGTTTGTATGACTTCGTCCTCGGCCTCATCCTGGACAGCCTTACCCTTTCTCCTGGAGTCTAACCGGGCTCTGAGATCAATTTCTTCCCTGACGGGATGCCTTCTGAAGTCCTTGAGTTCATCGGTAAGCCCCTCATTTCCTGGGCGTCGTGTGGATTGGGTTGAGTCCTCCTCGGATTCATCTCCCTTCCTCCGTCTAGACAAACCTCGCCGGAGGTCGTCCAGGGCCAATGGCCTTGCTTTCCTTGAATGGTTGTCATGATGATGCTCGCCGGCTCTGGGTCGCTTTGGGGCCCTAGAGCTTTCTGCTTTGTTGTTTAGGTGGTTTCTTAGATCCTTCGTTTCCGCCTCCCGGGCGGGAAGCCCACGAGAAAGGAATGAATCCCTCGATCCTTCGCCAGAGGCGGCAAACTCGTTGAGCCGGCTTAGGACGTTTACATTGTCCTTTTTCAGCTGTCGTAATCTATCGCCAAACTTTTCTTCAATCACCTCCGCCAGCTGACGAGCCAAGGGGGCTGATCCCCCTGACCTGATTCCCATACTGGTTTGAGGGGTAACCCCTCTTGACCGAGTAGAGGCACTTTTATTCATATCGGTGTGATCCCTCCCTCCGTGATGACAGGGAGCTTGTAACTCGAGACTCCTTTGGTGGGGGTCTTTCCCTTTCTGTCGAGTGTTCACCATGGTCACTGTTCTTTATAGAGAAAAAACTAGGAAAACTAGTCGTTTCCCACAGACGGCGCCAGATTGTGCGTGCAAGATCCTGCACAATATAAAAACGAGAACAGATCTCTCCCTTGGTGAACTCGAGTGAGCCAGTTGAGTGACCAACCACGCTGCTTGGAACAGCCTGCGAGGTCCGGTGGTAACCTGGAACGGCAACGGGAGACCCTGGGGGAGCGGAAGAACGATCCAGTAAGGCTGAAAGAGGTTCCTGGAACAAAGAAGAACAAGTTAGAAGGGCGCCGGAGTGTTTTCCGGCGTATCCCCTCCGACGATCTAGTCAGTCTTTGAGAAAGAGAGAGGAAGGAGAAAACACTGAGTGTGTATTGTAGTAAAGAGTTTTTTGTTGCATACCCGTCTTGCCTTTTGCAAGGAGTATTTATACCTCAAAAGCTCATGATTGCTGTCAGTGTAGTCAGTAGGTGATCATTAGGTACAGGCAGTGTGCGCACTGATTCTGATGAGGAATGTCTTCTCTTCTTAACTGCTCGGGGTCCCGAGCAATCAATGCTGGGTCATCGGGATGCCGACGGTACAATGTACTCCTCTCGGGGAGGATGCAATAAATGCTCTGTATTAGGAGCATTTATTGCCTTTCATTTCCGAGCCTTACCGCATTGAATGCGGTCTCATCAAGGGAATGGTGTAATTAATAGTTTGCTTTCCCAAGTCGCGTGTCAGCAACGGCATGCGGTTTTTCTGTCTTCGATGTGATATCATATGCCACGCGTCCATCCCTCATTGGCTGTGGCCCCTGCATTCCAGTACGTTCTGACACTAATTGTGTAAGACGAGGTCATGATGAATAGCCTAGGCTAATGACCTGTACGTCAATAGCTTATCCTGGAGTAGAGGAGGCGTCCAGGACGGGGTACACCTCGGCACCGAGGAAAGGCTCATCTCGGAACCGAGGGAGGTATACCGACCGAGGTACCATATCAGACCGAGGCCACGTGTCGGTTGTAAAACATACTGAATGCATGATCCTATATGACGAGTACCTCGGGGGCGAGGACCTTTGTGCGCCGATGGTGCTTGATCTTAGCAACAGTGTTTTGGTAATACCGAGGACACGTGTCTTCATCATGAAGCATTTCAGAAAAGTCTCATCATCAATAGATAGGACCTCGATTAGTTTATGATTAGGCTCAAAAGCTGTTTTCTTTTACTCTTGCTCGGTAATGGTTTTTGTCTCAAATACGTCTAAGATAATCAATATCACATCTTTAAATATCACTTTTATATTGAATATTTTATCCTAATTGGTATGTGTCAGGTCAAACTGTGGCTCAAGCAGTGGGGTGATGGCACTGCGAGATCTGCCCCAATTTTACAGCCCATGTGCTTTTGAATGTTTCTAAAACAAAAATGTTGAAGATAATATGCTTTATGCCTATGCTCATCTCTTTAGCAAATTTGAAGTTTTTTTTTTTTTTGGTCTCCAAATTTGAAGATCTATGTATAATCTTTGGGGTACACCCTAGGCTTTGACTTAGAACCCCAAGTCAGAGTTTTTGAAGAGGGTATAATTTAAATATTTATAATTCAACATGTTTCATTCCGTGCAAGTTAGAGTTTGAACCAAGTAAGTGGAATTCTTTTTAATAATTAGGGTATTGACAAGATTAAAATACAAGACCTCTTGCTCTGTTACCATGTTAAACAACCATCTACTCTAAAAAAAATATAATTTAAATATTTATACTACAACAAAGTTTTTTATTCAACTCAACTCAATAAAACTATTATTCCAATTATTTGTAGTCTATTATATAAATTATATTTTTCATATTGTGTTCTATCATAACCTTACCTTTGTTAAGTTGTGAGTTACATTTTTTTTAATATTACATTCAAAGTTAATTTTGTTCTACATTTATCTCTCGAATTACCATCAATATGTATTAAATCTCTCTTCCTCATGCATGCATTACTAGATCTACTATAAACGTAAACAAACCACATAAGTTAATTCTTTCTTAATCTATTTTCTATTAGCGTTTACTTCTACAATTTTGTAAATGTATTCATTCCTAATTTTTTTGTCATAAATATACTTACCAAAAAAAATGTTTTTTATCATGAATTTTAAAAATAAAAAATCAGATATAAATAATATCTTGCATGTGAAAAAATAAAATTAGATTTTTAACTTTTATCTTGCATGTGAAAAAGTAATAATGCTGTTTGACTTAATTTTATTTTTGACCACTATTTATAGTGGGGAAAGAAATTTGGTGAGACTCGAACCTTGCACCAAGGGACACAACGGGAAAGATACAAACCCCTAGGCGCTATTTGGACGTATAGAGTGAGATTGTGGTATACTATTAATTAAATGATAGTGATTAATTAGATTAATAAATTAAATCTAAATAATATTGCTCACAAAAAAATTATCTATGTCACCCCCAATTCGAAATACGAAAGTCATAGCGAGACTTTATAACCGATATCGCAAAGATGCAAGGTCAATTTTTTTTGAGTACTACTATGTGAACTGAATTTATTGAATAAATTTGATGTCTTGAATCTTGATCGCTCACAATAATTGAATTGATAGTGAATCTTGTATTTCATGGAATTCTCTATTAATATAATTATTGTTATGAATTAAATTCATAAATTAGATCCAAAATAATATAATTAATTTTTTTAAATAAAGTATATTGGGTATATTAGGTAATAATTGTGGCATTTTTGAAAGTATAAACTAACTACAAGTGGTAATTATGACCATTGAAGATCTTAATCATTGGAACACCAAAAGCAGTACATGTTCATCCTTCAACCAGATCAACAGCTAAACAAAGTTTCACAAATCTCGGAGAAAACTTGAACAATGATCTCATGATAAGAGGATGAATTCAAAGAAAGAAAACGTAGTAACAGCCTCTCAAGATCTTCAGCTCCGAAGATCTGTTTCTCCACGATCATCTCCACCATTGATGTCCTGAAGTCACTGTATGGATCGCTCGAACTCTTCTCCACTGCATAACTCTCTTCAACTCTATCATCGGCAAGAAACGAAAATCCTTCCATTATAGAACCCAAATCTGCGCCTCTTCTCCGGCGGATCTTGTTGGTTTTCCGGCGGGTGTTGGTGGTTTTGCCGAAATGGCTGTAATAAAGATCTGTTGAGCTCAAGGGTGCTACAGAGCTATCTTGGGCTTCATTCTCTGCGGCCAAGTGGGTATGACCCTTTGTGGGTCTCCGGCGATTTGTGCAGGTTTCCCGGCTAGTTTTGGAGGTTTTATGGTGATTGTTAGTTGTTTTCGGGTGAGAAGTAGCAGAGTCGCTTGAATCTGCCAATACATAAGAAATGTCTTTATCTGATTTTCTCTCTTTGACAGATGGGTGGTGACACATCTCAGCTCTCAGGCTAGGTTTGGTGGTGTTCCTGCTAATCGTAGCCGTCTTTGGGCTTAATTCAAGAAGTGTATCAGTTGAACTAGGTGGTACTTCGAGTGCGGAACGACCCATTTCGGAGATATCGTACTCACCTCTTCTCCGACGAGAATCATTTCTTTTCCGACGAAGAGATTCAAAAGAACCGGAAGATAAGCTAAAAAAAGTGTCGGTTTTGCCACCATCATCTTCAGCTTCGTCTTCACTGCTAAACCACCCACTGTTGGAGGAGGAGCTTTTCTTGATCTTTGTCTCTTTACCACTTATCTCCTTGTGGCGATATTTCAATGGCGAAAAAGGTTTTACAGGGGGAAATGACTTCCTTCTTTCAGCATTACAATCGAAAAACTGGGTTTTGGGTTTCGAAACTTCCATGAGCTCTTTTGTAATAGTGAGATCATTTGGATTTTTGGGTTTGGTGAATGGAGGATAGATTTGTATTTTGGGAGAGACGAGGTGGTGTTCATGGAGATTTTTGGTGTTCCGAGTAAGGACGATGGAGCTTTCAATGACGTCCGATATGTTTCGGGACCGACAGGTAGTGAGAGATGAAGGAAGGAAGCGAGAGGCCGTGTGCCTTACTTGGTTCTCCATGGAAGGTTCAGAAACCTCATAGTGTACATTGCATATTTATATGCTAATAGGCGATTATGGTAAACATCTTGGTCTAATAATCGACATGGTATCTATGATACTGTATAAAATAATCTAAACATGGCATCATTTGATAAATCTATTTTACAATTTCAAATATAATCATTTAATAATTATTAACGTCCCCTAAATTTTTATTTTTTATCTTACCATCCCTTAAATTTTCACCGTACCAAAAGGTTACCCTAGATCTACCTACTACAAAATTTTGTCCTTTCTAAAATGTTATTGTACTTCTTCTAATTCATATATGTGTACTCCATACAGAACACTGTCGTGAACATATATTATTGACACACTAAAAAGTAATGATATCATATTGAATTACTAGTTATTTTTCTTATAGTTATGTTTCTTGTTTCACGGTATAGACTAATAAAAAAAATTAATTAATAATAAATATATTTATATTTATATCCAAAATTAAATTACAAAAATAAATGAGAAAAAAAAAAATTTAAATATCGATTATAATTAAGACAAGCAGTGGTAGTAATGGTGGACAACAATGGTTGTGGTGGGAGACGGTGATGTGCTGGTGCTGGTGCTAATAAGGGTGGTGGGGGCGGTGGTAGGGTTGGTGGAGGTAGTTGTAGTGGTGGGGTGACGGTAGTGGGGCAATGGGGGTGATGGTAGAGCAATTCAAAATACTTTTTTTTTTAAAGAAATTATAGAAAATTATAAATTTTAGAAGTATTTTTAAAAAGTTATATCAAACACACTTTTATGAGTCTATTTTTCTTATTAAATTTGGGGTGTTAATATTAACCGTTAGATAAACTTTAAATAAAAATTTAAAGAAATATCAACCGCAAAATAAAAATTATTTTATTTATCTTTTAAAATTTAAATTATATTATAATTTATTATATAAATTTTAAAATCTCAATTTTACTCTCTCTTTCACCTCGCCATCTGACCATTTCTGTTTCTGCTGTACCTCCTTATTTGACATCTCTCCTCCCCCCTTCCATCATCTCATTAATTTAAAATTTAATATCATTCACCCAGCATCAAATTGACTTTCTATTTCATCAATTTAAAATTATATTTTATTAAATTAACATCAAACTAACCTTTAACTTTATTAATTTAAAATTTAAATTTATCAAATTAACAACTAAGTAATATTTAATTTTATCAAGTTAATACCAAATTAACATTTTATTTCATCAATTTAATTCATAAAATTAACACCAAATTAATAATGAATTTAATCAATTTAAAAATTAATTTCATCAACTTGAAATTTAAGTCATCAGTTCCATTAATTTAAAATTTAATTTCATCAAATTGACATAAAATTGACCTTCAATTTTGTCAATTTAATATTAAATTTTCTTAAATTAACACCAATATCAAACCACTTAAGAGGCTGGACTTGTACATGCTATAACAGTTTTATATTGAAAATTGAAGATGTGGCAATTATTTAGGGTTTTTTTTTTTAGGGGTGATTTGGTAGTCATTATTTTGACAATCAATTTGTTTGATTTGTCTTTTTTTGTTACATGCTGTTCAAGTTTATGTTAATTATTCTCTCGAATTCAGCCGCTAACCACCATGAATTTAGCTAGTGTATAGCATATACCCCAAGCGATAAGGGTGGCTAGCACTTAGAGATTGTGAGAGGGATTGAACATCAAACTTCAATATTATCAAATAACAGACTCAATTATTATACCACCTCTAAGGGTTATTTGTTTGGTTTGCTTTGTTTGTCAATTTCTGGTACCCATAGCCATAATTTAGTGTGTGAAGAGAGAGAGGGAGAGGGACAGGGGGGTCTGGCTCGTCTGTGGTTGGGAAGTTACCGCATAACATGCAATTTAATGAAACGGCTGCGTTTCACTGTGTTTTTTGCTTTTTTTTTTACTAACCCTTACCAAAATGATGTTGTTTTGGTCCAACTAAAAATCAGATCTGAGATCCTTCTCCTACCTTCGGCTTCGTTTCAGGCGCTCCTCTCTCTCTCGCTCTCTCTTCTCCTACCTTCGGCGACAAAAAAGCTCCTATATAGGTTCCCTCTGTCGATATAAGTTTAAATAAGGATGTTCTCTGTTGCAGAGGAAATTTTCCTGAAATGCGGTTGTCCTCACAACCTCTGGGGGGACAGCGGAGTTTATTGTGAACTGTTCAGATTCTCTGTTAGTCGTTCATAGTAGTCTTTTCCATCTGTTGTATTTAGCTTTTGTAGAGATTTATTTTTCTCATTACATTTGGATTGATTGAACAAGAACTCTTGTGGTAATGCCCATTGCTTTGATGTAGACCAAGAGGACGAAGAAGGCTGGTATTGTAGGGAAGTATGGTAAGTTTCAATGTTGCCTATTTAATTCTGTTTTGTGATTTGGCCATCCATGTATTCACTTAACAATCGTGCTTCAAGATTGATGCATCTGTCCAGACCAACCCATCCCAATTTGAAGAAAATGTTGCTTCTGAGGATGAGAAATGTAATTTTGATGTTGAATATCGTTTAAAATTTGTCTCTTTTGTCATTATGTATGAGAATTTGAAGTTTGACTCCATTAAAGATATTAATTGTCAGATAGAGATGTGACACTTAGTCTAAAAATAGTCCAAGGCATAAAGTTCTTGTACAATTTTATCTCATTATTTTGAGTTGCATTCCTCTTGCAATATTAATGTGCAGTATTGTTGAGTATTGGGCTTAATTAGGATCATGATAGATTGAGGTCCTTAAAACAGGTCATGGAAATTGAGGTTCACAGATAAAAGTTTTATGAATTTAGAAATGCCTAAGTAGTTCGATTTCAACTTTAAGGGTTCAGTTTATTACTTGTTTTAGTTCAAGTATAAAACATTCTTGCTAGTATTTCAAAAGGAATCTGACTTTCACAGTCTTGACTTTCTGTACATGTTTCTTGTGTTATATCATATATGCAACTCATTATGATTTTAATTTATCTAGTTTCCTGTTATGGGAATTTCAAAATGCATGTACTTCTTATGATATGGCCTTAGTTCTATTACGATGATCAAATTGTATCTTGCACTTTAGGGGTTTCACTTTGCTGATTGCCACGATTTTTAGGAACCCGTTATGGGGCTAGTCTGCGAAAGCAGATTAAGAAGATGGAGGTTAGTCAACACAACAAGTACTTCTGTAAATTTTGTGGGAAGGTACAACCTTTCTTAGTTACAACAAGTTGGACTACCAAGTTCACAAATATTTTTGTTGTGTAAGGCCTTTTCTTAGACATTTTTGGCTGCATCCACAATTCCACATCCTCAGTCGTGAGATTAAGTACCCCTCCCCCCCCCCCCCCCAAAAAAAAAAAAATCCTCTTTTAGAAGGGGTTATGGCTGCTGCCAAGGTGCCTGAGCATTTTTGCCTTATTCTGCTTAGTTTTAGACAATTGTGCATCACTTACCTTTTTTAAGGGCGCGTCTTTTGTTCTAATTGAAAATGTAATTGTTTGCAGTATGCGGTGAAGAGAAAGGCAGTGGGTATTTGAGGCTGCAAGGATTGTGGCAAAGTCAAAGCAGGCGGTGCTTACACATTGAAGTAATAAGACTTGGTCTTATTCCCACCGATTCTCTTGCGAGCTACTAATGCATTGTTTTGTTTCTCTTTTTTTTTTTCAATGCAATAGCACTGCTAGCTACTAATTTCTTGTTTTGTTTCTCTTCTTTTTCAAATGCAATAGCACTGCTAGTGCTGTTACAGTTAGGAGCACAATTCGGAGGCTGGGGGAGCAAACCGTGAGCTGAGCTAGCCATGGTCCTTCCAATGCTGATTTTGATACATGTTTACTAAGTCTTGGAATCAGACTTTGGCTTCTGTCATTACAATTTTAGAATTTTTAAGAAATCAGACATTGGACCGATGTTTTTGTTCAGACAATTATTGCATTTTTCTGATGAGCGGTACAAGTTCTAATTGCATTTAGAGTTTGGTTTATCACCGTTTACTTTTGTTCTTTTAATGTTTTGTGGAATAATTGTAATTTTGAGTCTATCTTCCAAAGGGGAGTTCTTGATTGCACCTTTCATGGAAGATTAAATAAATTGGAATTGCTGCCTTATGTTTCTTTTTTTCTGTATCCCACGTGTATTTGAATCATACTAGATATAGTGACTACTAATGGTTTGAGAAATGCTAGTGGGCAAATGGTCTGACCTAAACTGTAAACATCTTATTACATTGGGATATAACAAGCAGCAAGGTTCTCTCTTTATGACTGACTACGACTACGCTCTAAAAATCTCAAACAGTAAGCCGTATTGATATGGTTTGTGTTGCTATGTTGGGTTAATGGTTTTGCGTGCGTTTTGCATCCGGGAACTCTGGAAATAAGTTGTTCAACCACTTAGAGAGACCAAACATTATCAAGAACAACAAGTGTTCGCATAACGGTCTTCAAATCATATTTTAGTGGCCATTGGGGAATCAAACCACTGCAATCATCAACACAATTCCCTGATATCATTCTCTAAATCTTTAGCCTTAGCCTTAATTGATATGGAAATAGTTATTGCGAATTTGATTGTCTCTACAAATCTCCCTGGCCAAAGTGGTCTTTCCACTTCCACTAATCCCACAAATCCCAACAACACCCAAATCGTCCCTCCTAATCACCATCTCCTTCACCTTCCTCTTCGCCATCTCATCCATCCCTGCCCCCACACCCAAATTTACCAAACCACCCTCGTACCACCTCTCTTTTTCCTTCACCCTCTTCACCGCCTCCTCCAACCCTCCCTCATCCCCCCATCTTCATCGCTCCAAGCCGCTGCTCCAACCTTCGAGCCGAACCCTCAAGCCGATCAAACCTCTCCGCCGAATCGAACCTTAGATGATGCACATGAGCTTGCACAGTAGTTTGCAAGAACCTTGAAATATTCTTTTCAAGCTTCTCCACCTTTCTCGCTAATTGAAAGTTCTTGTACACGTTCCAGCGGTCGGAATTGAGGACTTTTTCGGCGAGCTCAAGGTGGGAGAACCAGACCCGACGAAGAAGTAGCAGGAGAAAGAAAAGGGAGGGGGTTTGATGCTGATTTAAAGAATCAAAACGACGTCGTTTTGGTAAGAGGAAATTTTTTTTAAAAAAAAAAGCAACAAGCAACAAGCAAAGTGAAACGCCGACGTTTTATTAAACTGCATGGTATGCGGTAACTTTCCAACCGCAGACGAGCCAGACCAGGGACAAGGACAGGGAAAAGGAGAGAGGAAAAGTAGTTATAGTTTTGACATTTGAGAGCGAATGGGGAGAGAGAAAAAGTGGCGAGGGCACGATGGTGGTGTTAATGGCATTGGTTGTAATTGTAGTGGTAGAATTAATTAGATTAATTATTAAAATAAAATAACAATTGTTTAGATAAGTAGGAGGTTATAATATTAAATTAGACTTCACTTGAATTTAAAAGTAAATTTGATTTAGTTAATGCAATTGATTAGGATCATGGTGAAATTTAAAATAAATTTAACATAATCAAGGATGAATAACTAAATTCGATTTATGTTATGTTATACCGGTAAATATATGAATTTAATAAGGGTATGAACGTAAAAGTGTCACTTTCATTACTATCCTCAAGGTACAAACAGTGACAATGAAATTTTAGAAAATGCAAGGGATATCTTTATATTTAGGCTTATCTATAGGGGTGCGAGTAAAATTTATCATAAGTTGAATGGTTCTGATGGCGATATATCAAATCTATTTAATATTAAACTAGTAATTTGAATTATATATATTTAATAAAAGTACAATAATAATTGAGATTAATCTAACTTCACTGAATGGTTCAAAATTTATTCAAAAAAAAAATTTATGCCCAAAGTCATATGTTATCTGCACACCACTAATGTCAGATACTTCAATCAACACACTTCACAACGTCATCAAACCACTAATCTACATCTACTTCTTTTTTTTTCTTTCTCCTCTATCTTTTTCTTATTTCGTTATTTCAACTTTAATTTTAAATTGTGTAATTAAAAAATTAAAAAGAAAAAAAACTATTAGTTAAAATATAAATATTGTACTATCAATATTTGATATTGTAAAATGTTTTTAGACACGAAAGTATAACTAGTTAAATCTTACAAGAGACGTTTATGTATTGAATTATCGGTTATCCAACTTTGAAACAAAATCCATTTTTATTTTCTTTGCAAAGTTAAATTTAAATATGTTAATATTTGACCAAGTTATGTTATATGACAAGATTGAAATAAATTCGGATATAGACCTTAAAATTAAAATCCATGAAATAATCGAATCAAATTCGAATTAAAATTTCCAAAATAGAATTCAGCTTCAAATTTGGTTGATTTGATATGTTGACAAGGTAGGTATGAATGTAACGAATGTTAGACCAAACTTAAATGACATTTTGGTGATTTAAAGTTAGAGGGTAAAAAAGTTAGCACTTCTTGATAGTAAACTATCGAGAATATGATTTAATTGTCTTAGTAAAATTAGAATAGGACAAAATGGCTTTGATCGGAAAAAAGTATGACTTATTCGTAATTCCCCTCCAAAAAGTATGACTTATTAATTTTCTCATTTGTTATTTCTTCAAATCATGGATTTCATCCCCTATTTTTCCAAATCATGAACACAAGGATGACCTTTGCTTGGATAAGTAATATATATCTTGAATGCTCAAACAGAAGTTGTACATTTCCAAAAAATAATATCATTCATTATTTTTTTAGAATTTTTTTAATAGAAAAAAATTAATTTATGTATTTAACATGATAATTTTTCATCGGGGGTGCATACCACTTAAAACTACCACGTGACATGTTAAACTCAATCTAACTTTTTTTTTACAAATTTTTTATCATAGAAATTTGGGTTATCATAAAGGATCCTTTCTCAATCAAATATGAAAATCAGATAAAAATCAATGGATTTTGACAGAATTTAATATAACTAATGGTCAAATTGACACAAGAAGCTGATTGATGGTTTATTACAATTCATTTACGCAACATCTCCCTAATAATAATGAATTGTGGTTCTAAATTTAGAGGTGTCAATTGTGTTGTGTTCGTGTGACCTGCATGTCGTGATATTCGTATCATTTTCATGTTAAAACGTATGAAAAAAAAAATTAATTGTGTTACGAGTATTAAACATTAGTCTAAACTATTTATAATACATATTTAATACTCATGTCAATTTTGTAATCGTTCGTGTCAGGTTCGTATCAACGGGTCAAAGTTGACACCCTACTTCTGATCTTCACTTGGCATGGTAAAGACTACGTACGTACTCAAACAATAGGTATTTTTATAATTTTTTTAGGACCATTTTACAATAAATTTATTGTTTTATCATTTTTGCAGATAATGTATAACTTTTATGGGTGCTTTATCACTGTTATGGTAATTATTTTTATTACTTTTGTGATACTTCTGATCGATCTTAAGAATCGTAAAAACAGTTACAACACAATGGTAACTGTTTTCATAGATACATTCAAAGATATGAATCCTAATATAGAACCAAAATGGTTAATACGCCATCAACGTATTAAGTTTTAAAGTTGTATTGAGATAGATTAAAAGGAAAGTTTCCTAGTCTGTTGCGATGTAAGAGAGATTTTTACTTTGTTATTTGGACCATAAGAGTATTTTCTTCTACACTAGGTTGTTTGGAATCTTGATTACTCAAGAAGTCTTTGGTATGTCTTGAATTATTATGTAAAAATAGAACCATTTGGTGCTTCATGATCTTTTTTTAGCAGACATGAGAGGTTTACACTATGTTTGTCAATCGTTCGGGTGAAGCGGGTTCGTATCAAAAAACACTTTACTTATAACTTATTTATTTATTAATTCGTGTCTAACGAGTTATGTCATTGCGAGTTCGTATCGTGTTTCAATCATGTTTATTCGATATATAAACAAGTTGTGTCGATATTTATTTTGATTGGTTTCATCCTTATAATTTTCCTTACCAGTCTTGTTTAATGAGAAGTTAACATCTTCATTGACCATCAGTCTTAATATAGTACCAATTGGGACATGACTGGACCAGTTTTAGGTTATTTAATGCAAAAAATATATATTCTTTCAATCACAATTATTCATGCTACATCAAAATTACTTCTTAATTTCATACTTCTCTTTTTTATTCATTAATCCAAATGTGACCCACGAAAAAAATATATTATTTTGTTATTTCAACTTTTTAGTTTATTATTTTCATGTTCAATGGTTCTAATGAATTCAAACAAAGATCTGCCTACGGCTTAGGTTTGTTTTTCGGTATAAAACTACAAAAGTAAACTTCCATTAATATACAGTAATCCACATATATGTATATATATTTAGCATCTCTAATTGGATACTCTTACTTTTCTTTGCACATTTTATTATCGACTAGGGGTAATCCGTACCTGAAGAGACGATGCAATATAAATGATTTTGAGAGAGATATTAATAGTCGTTAAATGAGTCTATTTAAAACCGTCGGATGAACTTATTAAATTTTATATTATAGATTTTTCCACTTTGTCCTCTCTTGAGTTTGCTAATTAATTAATGTTTTGGACAGACAACACCCACACACAGTTTTGTCATGGTTTGGGTAAATTTGAAACAAACATAGTTGAGTATAATGCTAAGAATTTGATAATCCGAGGGAATAAACTGGTGTCAATATCTAATTTAGGACTACTAAGTGTAATTTTACCATATAATATATCTAGACCTTAACTTTTTTTAGCATCTAGGTCAGGGTTGCAAGTTAATTTTGGACTTTTTCCCCCATGTTTCAAAATTCAAACTTGGATTCAACCTATATTATCATCTGATTCATATTTTATAATTAATAGCATGATATTTTCCCAAAATCCACATGGTAATCCTCTTTTTTTTTTTTTTTTGTGTGGGGTTTTGGTGGGTGGGGGAGGCATTTGTGACCAAAAGGGCTTCTGGGATATCATATTTTCAAAGGAAAAATGGAACATTTCTGCTGCCACTTTCCCATAACACTATATGTCTATATGCTTATGTCCTATTCAAATTTCACATGGGTAAAAGACAAGGAAATGACTAAACTTTCCTTGACCTGGGCACTGGTTATATCTTCTCTAGGCACATTGGGTCTATGGCCCTCAAGGAGCTGACTCTATTTTGTCAATCTCTCTCCCCAAAAAGGGCATCTCAAGCTCTTTAGAAAATTCCAAACAGGGTTAAAACACAGGAAAAACAAGTTTTGTAGTGCATTTCAAATCCCTTTTTAAGTCCAACCAAAAGCTAAGAGACAGATTGGTTGGTTGGCTGGCTTCATTTTTTCATGGGTTGGCGAGTTTATTGACAACATAAGTACAGTGAAACTCACTTTTGCAAGGCGGAAAAGATTATGATACCAAAAATTACAATATCTTAGCGATTTAGGAATGACCACAACTATGTTTTTGTAAGTAACTTGACATTTTTGTACTTGGTTCAAATTAAATCGTAATTTTTTAATCAAATTGAATTGTAATCTCATCTATATTTTGTATTACTTTTCATTATGATACTACTAAACTGGATACTTTATTGTTAGTTGTATATGGGTTTTTGAATTTGAATAATTTTTTTATTCTTAATTTTGGTGTTTTTGTTCAGAACTTGTCCTGACCCTCATCCCTAAAGATCTGACAGTGGAGAAATGGTGTGGATTTTGGTGGGATTTGTCCTCTTCATGGTGTAATTATCCTCACAAAAGGTGTCAAAACCCTATATGGCCGAATAATTTTTTCATAATGCATGACGTTAGTATGAAGTAGTCAGGGTACAGATTTTTCTTCTTCTTTTTTTTTTTAGGGTAAGGTGGGGGGTTAATTTCTTGGTACTAAAACTCTCAACCTGATAGCTTGATTCCTATTGAAATTATTAATGACTACTAATTGTCGTGTTGCCAATGGCTTATGCTGAAGTAACTAACATATATTGTGGTAGTGTGGCAGATTTGAATTTGAATCATCTCAGTTCTTGCTACCATTAGACTTATTTAGTGAATCCTTAAGTGAGAGGAGTGATAAGAGC